TATCAAAAATTATATATCTTCAATTCTATGAAGCGTTTCTACACTAAAAGTATTTTAAAATTAAGCATTCCTCAAAAACTGTGTAGATTCTTGTATAATTTTGCTAAAAATATAGAGATAAGAAAGACCGCATCTTCCGAATAGTGAGCTTTGGTTGACAAATTCAAAGTGTGTCAATAATAAATCAATTACCCGGATTAACATCATTTAACTACCATTCATCACGTCTCGCAAGAATTCAAAGAAAAATCTCAGTTTTAAACGTTCACTTGGTTGTGTTGGCACAATTAAAATCATTTCAATTTTGAAGTTGCAGATGTATGCAACTTGCAAAGCACGCTTGCCCAGCGGGTTGCTCCATCCCTTTCATTCAAAACAGCTCCTTTATTCTGTTTTTGGCGCAACGAATTGTTAAATCTTTGGTGAGGTGGCCATCCTTCAACACCATATATTCATATTAACCTGAGAAGTGATGGAGCGAATGGGGTGCCAGAGGCCAACGAAATCCTTTTGCCACCTACGCCGGCAAAACTCGGCAGACGATCATTAATTACAGTCGCGGTGGTCCGCTCGAAAATCTGGCCCTAGAGCTACAAAATTGCAACTAGGTGGCGACCGCACTTAAGAAGAGCACTCCCTAGCCCAAATGAGGACTGGCTAATTATCTGCCCACGGAGCAGAGAGAAAAAAAACCACCGCCGATTGCTCGCAGCGCTACTTGCAATTAATTACGCCATTTGCCTCTAATTTTTACTGTAACACATTTCACACGTAACCCTTTCTCTTCGCGTCTAATTTTCGGTCTCAATTCAGCAATTATATTTTACAAATAAGCACTTGGATTTACGAAATATGCTCAGAATTATAATTAGAGTTAGCGCTAAGAAATAGAGCTATAGGAAAAAAACATCTAAAGATATTGATAAAAAAGTAAATTTTGGTGAAAAAGCAGATTGTTAATTTGAATATCTGAAAGAAGCAAAAATAGAAAATTCAGAATATTCCATATTTTCAATTATTATGAGATGGATTTATTTATTAACAAGGTCACCACTACTTTCAAATTCAAAAAATGGACCAAAATTTGAAAATAAATTTGTTTACAAAAATCAATAGTTAGAATTGATTTGGAAATAGAAACAATTTATTTAATGAAAAATTCTAACTCTAAAGTCACAATATGGTATAAAAAAAAATTTTTGCTAGAAATTTAGAATAACTTTAACAAAAAAAATTCTTATTAAAATTATATTATTTAATGTTCAATTGATAATTTAAATTACGAGAAAGCTAAAGAAGTTGATCAAATTTTATTAGCAGTCTTGATTATTAGCGTGATATGAAATGTAGAATTTATATAGTTGTGTACTTCATGTTATTTTTCTTCTCTCACTGGTGGCTAGAGAAAGACCATTAGCCCAGATTGGCGTTTACCATTGTCAGCCGCAATGCTTGTACAAAAAGAATGCAACAAACAAAACAAGCCTCCAACAATGACTCGTGACTCTTATGTCATTCCATTCGCTAATGACCTCACAGCGGAAAGATACGCTCGCACTTTTGTCTGGTGTGTTTGAGAATGGAGCACTTTGGTATTTTTATACGAATTTCACGGTTCGACGGCCGATATTAGCTGCGGCGACGGCGATAAATTGGTCATTAAAATTCTGTCGTGTCAGTCCGAGAGTCAATAGACGACAAACTTGGAAAGCAAGGGCACAATATTAGAATGTGTGTGGCAATTGCGCCAGCCCATTGTGCTGCTGATTGAAAGCAATTCTTTAGTGAAAAAGTTATTATTATTATTATGGGCGTGTTTTTTTCCTCGGAAACGGAAAAAAATCAAAGTTATTGGAGGTGTTTATATTGTTTCTAAGTGAGTGAATGAGCAAAGAAAATTGTAGCAAGCATGGAAAAAATCAAAGGATTTATTTATAAATATAAAAAGTATAGAATTGGTTGTATTGTATTAAATGTATTTATTCTCCTGTTAAGTCGTACACATGTTGTGTTCAACAAAATTTTCTAATCTAAATAGAATTGGTTTGTCTTTTTGATTGGATTTATTGTTTTTATATCTTATCGATTGTTCTTTTTAATGATTTTAATATATTCAGATTTGAAGTTTGACTTTCCTTTCTTCTTTAGTTCAACATTAAAATCAGCCATTGTAATAATTAATTAGAAATATTGATATATTTCTATTTCCTCAATTATGCCACATATGTGATTATACTTATAATTTCTTACTTCTTATATTTTCTTAAGAATATCGTGTTATGTTTAATTTGAAATTCAAATATTGATAAAGAAAGATTCAATCATCACGAGTACTTATACTATGGCAATAATTGTGGAGCACTGAGCGACAATATAATGTTTATTTAACGAAAATTACAATAAATAATCTTTGCAAACAGTATTAAACACTTTATAGCAAGTTATCTTTGTAATTAAATCACAATTGCATAACGGTGTTTTAAAAATGAATATAAAAAATTTAATCATCATAATTATAATATAAAAACTCGGAAAATAGTATGCAATAATCTAATTAGATAAATATTCTAATATTATTATTAAATTTAACCGCTTTCTTATTTTAAATCAACAAACAATCCTGTTATTTGAATTCTTTTTTGGCATTCGTTATTGATTTTGACTTACAAAAATTACTTTACATATCAGCTGATTTCACAAAGTAATGTTGATTTGCTGTCGGTGTGGCGGCTCATGTTTTGCCTGGATTTACAAAATGTTTGACTCGCACGCTTAGAACATTGGAAATCAGCAATTGTTGGAATCAATTGGAGCTCAGGAAAGCTGCTCTTGTTTTTGTTGTCGCTTGTAATGCCTTTGGTACACGCACTCGATCGACATCTAATGCGCCGCCACGACCAACAATGGCGAATTAAAAATCGTGGGAAGTGTCAGAAGAGAGTTTTCCTCTCATGTAACGAGCGAGATCACAAGCTACATCTTTATTACCGACGAGTCAATGAGAAAAAATTTTATCGTGTGTTGTAAAACGGCGTGTCGTCGTGGGACGAAGATTTAATTAGACACGGGAATAAAATGCAACCAGCAATTTAGCTGCGGCAAAAATTTATATTTTCGATTTAATTGCAGGATAGGAGAAGAATGCGCGCGAGATGCTCCATCCAGTAGCATTACACCTTAGACAAGTCGCAGGTGCGGTAATTAAAAGGACTCGCCAATTCTTTGCTTGGTTTGTAATTATACGCGCAGCTCGGCGTGCCGCGCGCGGATAAATCATTCGGCAGCTCCAATTTATATTTATTTCTTCTACACTCGCTGCCGTGCGCGCACAAAGCACAAAAAAGCGCTGCATATTTACGCGTCGCGAGCAACAAACACCTGTCCGCCGTTATTTTTTTTTCAATTCGAGCGAGACCGACCCTATGAATGCCCGCGAGCCGCGCCATTCTAAACATTTTTCAGTTATTCGACCGCGTTGCGCAATTTCGAAATAGAATAGAGGCAGGGCAAATGGTCAGCCCCATAATAAGAGATGCCAACTTTTACCTCCATACTTGAATTTAGTATATAATTGGGCTCGTTATTTTTACTACAATTCTGGTTTTTATTATAATTTGAGGTTAATTTGCCAAAATATTACGGCAATAATATGCAAAATACAACACGTTTTTTGCAGCTTCTGTTCTGACCAGTTTAAAAGTTATGGCACTTTTTATAGCATATTATCCAATATTTATTGAGAGATTGATCTTTTACTTGTTTTATGGCGGTGTAAATTCTGCCAGAGAGTGATAAATCGCATTGATTGTTGCGAGACAAATAATATTAACACACAATAATTTCGCTTGTTTATTTCTTTTAAATGTCTTTTGGAAATCCTGACCGCCGATTATGATCAAAGTCTCTCAATTGAATTAAGCAGATGGAAATGAACAATAATTTTTTTTTAAATAGAGAGCACAGTGCGTCTCTCTTTCTTTGCATTCATTCATGTGCGTGCGTCGGAGACTTGCTGAAATACGGATAATTAATGAGTCCATTGTGTTGCTATTTATATTTTAGTCCGAGTAAAAACTTCAATGCTCAGGATAGTCTTTATAACTTTGAGGGTGGATATTTTCTCTGTGAACATCTGGACGAGAAATACTTAAATTTTAATAGAAGAAAATTATTAATCGAGTTTTGAGATGATTGAACGAGATTTAGCAGGTTAATGAAGTGGACACTTGGCTGTTTTTATTAAAAGACGTGCGGTTGCGCATTATCTCGCTTATTAGCTCACACTTGCTGCTTATTTCAACAAATTTAATTATCAACAACAACAGCTAGCGTGCCTCGCGTTTAATTAACATTTCCGAGATTGATCTTGCGCTTGCCTCCTATTAATCGAGGTGCGTAAAGCGTGCTAATTAGTAATGTTATATTATATCGCCGTGTGACTACAAAACCAGCCCTAGGGAAAAAATTATACTTCAACGAAGACTTCTTACTCAGACCTAATGGGGAATAATAAAATATTATTTTTCTTTAATAAAACATTTAAAAAAGCGAAAATAAAAAATTATTATAGATCAGCTTTGATTTTTATTTGAGTATTTTGATAAATGAGAAGTAATTAAACAAATGCATAAAATAACAAGGCTAATGAATTTCATTTATTAAAACGCCACACAGACTTGACAATTTTACACTTCTAGCTTATTTTGATATGTTGATTTATATTTTTATTTTATAATTTTATCATTAAATGAGAGTCGTGTTTTGAACCACATGCACAAACACGATATCTGCATAATGAATTTAATTCTCAAGTTCAACTTTACAATTCTGATTATGATTATATATCAGCAATTATTTCATAAAAAAAAACATATTTCAAGGAAAAAGATATCAAATGTTGATGCGAAATAAGTATTTTGATTTCCTCTAATTGTCAATGCCAGCCAGTGACCCTTACTGACCCCGGGGTCTTCCCATCTTCATACTTTTCCTCATTCCCCTAATCATGTTGTTCTGAAGTCAGTCGAGGCCGGCCAGTGTCTTGGAAGAAGCAGCGAGATGCAGACTCAAATTAAAGTCGCGGCATTTCTTTTCATCGCCGGAATTTTCCTTGTGCAGGGTAAGTTTTTTGAAAAAAAAACCTCATTTCTAAGAAATACACGCAAAGTTGAACCCAAATTTACAAGTCGTAATTGAATATTTTAATTGTTTTAAAAATTGCCTTATTCAAATTTCACAGTCTTAACTTGCAAAAATAAAAACTCACTATATACGGTTTTATTTTTAAATTTCAGCCGTGGATCAGACTAACTCACATCGAAGACAAATCGCTCGCCGGAGTGTTGAGGATTATGACTCAAATAATGATAGTTATTTAAGTGGAACTGAAGCAACTGACCAAAGCATCGAACATGAAATTTATGCAGAAGCCGATGAAAAAGAAACTGAGCCTGCTGGTGATGAGACTGATGAGGGGCTTCTAAAATCTTTCAGTTCTAAAGCAAAGGTCACATTATATAAAATTAAAAAAATCCCCAGTGAAGTAAGCACCTTTTTCAGTCGATTTGTAAGCAACAATTTTTAGATGTACCGCAAAACTTTTAGGTATGACCTTTCTTTGTATGAACAATAAAAGACATTTTTATAACTTACACATTATGGAATAATTTTTTAACACACACCTTTCCATTAAATATTACATAATGAACACACGCATAGGCTGGTAGAGGTGTTTGTGTAATTTCAGTGGGTTTTCGTTGGCCGCTCATTATTAGTAATTAATCGGCAAGAGAGGCCTAGAGATGATATCAGCGAGTGAATTCCAGAGGCGCAAAACCAGCTCGAGAATCTCCCCTTTGGCCCGCGGTGCATTTTTTTTGGTGTTGCCGGAATCTCGGTGGTTCAATCGAATTGATTTGAATAATTTTTTTCAGCCGACGGACAATCAGAGTTTTTCGATACTGATCGTGTTTAAAAGTCTCTGATGTTTCTACTTTTTATATTTAGAGCTGCTGACGCAAGATTGCCTATGTGTTTTGTGATGAAAGTTGCTTATCGGTCTGAAGCTGGTTCTTAAGAACTCACCAAGAAATTTGATTTATGTGAGGTTGGTAATTAAAGGGTGCGATAAACAGCGTGTACTGCTTATTCTTTTAATATTATTCCATTAAGCCTGCTAAATTTTTTCTTTTTCAAAACAGCGACTGGTGGAAAATTATTTAAAAAAAAGTCCCAGATGAAGTTTAAGAACCAAATAAACAAGTTTAATGGGCATTTTTTAAGATATTCAAATCGAAAGTCAAGAAATTTTTGTTGAATTCAAGAAAAAAATTGATGATACTTCTATCATTATGAAATTACTTAAAAATGTATACTTACTGATGTATTTTCAAAATAATGAATTGTTAAGAAATCGTCAGAAATTTTCCTTCCTGTCCTTATCTGATCACAACATGAAATTTTTTTATAATAGAAAAAAGTTTCGCAGAAATTCGTCGGCTTTGTTTGAACTCGGCACATACACAAAATGTAATTTCATTGGAAGGTGCAAATGAGTTTTGCATGTTGAAAAGTGACCTTTTTGTACTGCGAAAGTGTAGCAATTGCAGCAGACAAAAAGCATTTCGGCATAAACAAGAGATATTTTTGCGCGACGTGAAAAAGGCAGAATTTACGAGCGCTCCGCTTTCATCGCCGACGTTTCGGAACTCCAGTTTATCTCCAAAATTGTGATACACACAATAAATTTATTTGCATCGTTGCGTAGGCAGAACCGTCTGCGGCGACCGCGAAACCCGCTTTTGCCATAAAACGGCTAAAAGTTGTGCCGCTTCTGGTCCCTTATTAATCGCTTAAATGCTAATACATTTTTTTGCTGCTCCCGCCTGGAAAGTTACGCAATTCCCGATCAATTTTATTCAATCCGCAAGCAAACTAGTTTGCGCTCAAGTGAGCAAAAATGTTGTGCGAAAACTTCTCCCTTTAGAAAGAAGGAAGTGCGCAGAGAAAGGAAGGTTATTTTTGAAACACTTCCACAAACTGGATCTAAAAATAGATCAACTGGTTCATTTTTTGTTCAATAAGTCGGGCCCACATATTATGCTAATTAAGTAAATAATGATCTAAATTAATTCTATTCAAGAGAATACTTATGAGTAACTATTAATTAAATGAAAAGCAAGAATTTATTTTCCTCTCCTAAAATGTGAGACTTGCTTGAAGGTCAGCTCGCAATTTTAAGGTCAAGAACCTTAAGTGGCGGCGAGAAAAACGTTTTTATTTGCAAGTCGGGTGCATGCAGCAGCAAACAGCGGCGCTAAATTTTAACTGACGTCAAGTATTTCGCGATTGTTATCAGGTCGTTCAGTTATACACCTCTGAGAGCGAATGCCGCCGTGACATGTTTCAGACAGATTTGAAATGAAATTTACATCAATTAAAAAATTCAACGTGTGAGATTTAATTAATTTTAAACATGCAATTTACGAAATTATTTTTGTGATCAAATTTTACGTTCGTGTTTCAATAAGACTATTTTAAATAATGAATTATTTGATTTCATCACGAATTTTTATTTTTCAAAAGAAATGCAAGTTTAAAAATTATGAAAAGTTGAAACCAGGCAAACGGCCCGGTTTCAATTTTCCATGACACACACCCCAAGTGTTGGCATTCAATTTAAAAAGATACATTCATTGTTAAATAATAATTTTATTTACATGAAATTTACTTTTTAGTTTAAATTTAAACTGATATATATGCAAAATTATAAAATACTATTTTATAGAAGTTTCTTTTCATATTTTTCAAATTATAATTAATAAATATTTTAATTTTGTCGCCATTATTATAAAATTATTAGATTTTAAAAAAAAAAAATAGCTGCTCATAACTCACGGCAACATTAAATAATTATATTATATCTGTGAATATCTCTTTTCATACTTTATTGCATTATATACATTGTTTGCTTCCGTGTGAGTTGCCAATGCTCACAATAAAAATGCAAATCCCGCAGCTTTTCCTTCATAGAGACGCGCGGCAAACATCCAACAGCTTCTGCTCCATACTGGAAATATAATTAACGGGCAGCCGCGTCGGCGTTAATTACAATCAGGGTGCGGCCTGACATGACAGCACTGCTCTCTTTTCAGTCCACCCTCACAGACACCACCCACCTCTCAACTCTCTCCTCGAAGCAGAGCAGCTCTCTTTTCTTCTCTCAATTTATTGGCCGCCTCAAAATAATGTGGTAAATTATATGCATTCGGTTTTTTTTGCGCCCGCAATTTACGTGTCGGCAAGCGGCTGATGAAAATTTATTCGCGTTTGTGCTCACAAATGATAATAACGAACCTGATATGCGACATACGGCTCCATAAAACTGGATTATGTTCCGCTCACATTTTTACTGCCCGGGCTTTTAATCTCTCTTGCTCTCTTTTGAATGTAAATCAAATTAAAACAATCGAACAATGTAAAAGTGCGCGAAAACATCACTTCGTCAGATGTTCCAAGGAGTATTTTTATAAATTTCTCAAGTTAATAAAGATCGAAGGTAAATATTTGAGGCATTCTTTTCATTGCATTCTCACGCCAGTCTCCGTTTCGCAGAAAATTTATCGCGCACATTTTCAGCCAAGTCGGGCATTCGCCATAAATGGAAGTGCACTTCATCACCCAAACATTCACTCAATCCGTCTGTGCGAGAGCAATGAGCATTCTCTGATCCTCTCCGAGCAGCTGACAGTAGCGGGTCGGCAACTTAAAATTTTTGCTGTCAAATCAATCTTGAATGACGCAAGTTTAGTAAAAAGATGTGGGGCTTTTTTCACAGACACGTGGGAATTTATGTTTCATTTTTTAATAGGCATGGAATGAAATAATTTATTTTTCAGAATATAATATTACTCGCACTCACACTCCGATCATGAAGAGTCCACCGTTAAGACCATGCATTTTAAGCAAATAAGAAATTTTATTGATGGCGCGATACGAATAACAATATATATTTTTCATCACATAATAAAAATTATTTCAATTGATTTCTATAAGTTATTTCAAATATGGCTTATAAAGTTTTGAAATTAAATTATAAAATGTAAATAAAATATGTTTTTATAATAAATAAGTATATAAAATATTTTCAAAACAAACACAAAATAAATAAAATTAATATAATCTATTTATACAAAAACAAAATTTATTTATAAAGCAATATATTAATTAATATGTGAAATGCACTATTTTCATTTTTAATCAAATATAAAATAATTGGACGAAAAATTTACAAAAAACAACACAAAGATGAATGTAAATGTAGATCACAATAATGTAGCACAATTGTAAGGCAATATGAGTTAAAAATTTTCAAATCGATAAATAAGTTTAAGATACTCGTCACCGAAACGTCCGAAACCACTCAATAAAACCAAATTGGTGTGTTGATACCGACGGTGAGCCGTATTAGGGCACGTCTAGAGGCGTCAAGCGCACCTGGGAAAACATATTCAAAGAGAGATTATGCAGATAAAGTTCCTTTTGAACAGAGCGTATTATCGCTTCCTGCTATTATTTGCCTATCTGATGGGGCCGTTAAGTGGCCAATTTCTCGATCCGCTCTCAAATACTAATCAGAGCGGCTTAACACCTTTGGCATAATAAAGGATCAACCTTATGTACTTATTGTGGCCGACTTGTTGAAGGCAGATTTTGCGCATTTTTAATTAACTACGCAAAACGCGGTCATTATTTTTTATGAAAACCGCTAATGGTAATGAATTGGCTTGCGTTGTCACATAAAATTGAGTTATGGATTATTAATGTATGCGTAAAGACGATGAAAGTACAAATCGATTTTTCTTGCTTATCAATAATTTAATCGCGAAGTGAATTCTTAACCCTCTCAGCGTGCGTTCCTTTTGATACACGGCCGGCGATATTGCATATTAATTAGCATTACATGCAAAGTAATTAAAAATAACTCTGATATCGCGATAAATATATTTTCAATTTCGCTGAAAGCAAAAGTGGTTTGTTGCCATCTGCTCATTAACACACACACATGGTAATGCCCTTGCGGGGACCACCCTGCCGAGTGCAAATGGAATCCGTCGCACCGCAATTAGGCTGAATTATAAAACGTGTCTGGTGCGACGAGTGAAATAAAGTAACAATGCAAAAAGTGGTCCTCGGTGTGGTTTTAATTGCCACTTGTATGCGTGCACTCGAAATAAGAAAAGTAAATTATTTGACACGGTGTCCTTTTTCAGGGGCCGAAAACTTACATGCCAATGGCAAACCATAAGTCAGGCAGCAAAAATTAATGTTTAAATGTAGAATTTATGTCGTTTGCAAAAGCGTCTCAAAGACAAACATAAGGGCAAATTGGAATCACTCATTCAAAATTTAAATATCGTGCAACTTCAGTGATGCACAATCAATGCAAATCAACACTCCGTAGAGTAAAAATTACTTTGAAAATCACAAATTTTTATCAAATTTTTCTGAATCCATTAAGTTTTGTTTCAAAAAGTTCAGTTCACAGGTAGGGTGAATTTCATAGCCAAAATAGGAGCATATTTAGGTGACTTTTTAAGCTGAAATAGGTTTCAAATAGGAGATTATAGCAGTTTGTGGTTAAAATAATGTTAA